TATGCTAAGTTGAGTTGTGCTTTATCTTGATCCAAGTACCAGAATAGGTTACTCCTAGATCGAGAGATTGTAGTTCCTTCTGGATTCACTAAAGTTATGGTGCCAGTTGGAGCAGAGTTGTTGTTGTTTGCATTAAATAAGTTGATAAGGGGTTGTATTGCTGTGCTATGTGTTGAGGATTATTGAAATAATAAGCTATACAAATATTTATGTTTGTACTTTGATGAGTAAAGAGTGCAACATCATCCTATGAGCTAGATAATTTCTTTGCACCGTGTAGATTGCATGAAACTTTGCTGGATTTTTATTTCAATTTAGTGGGACTTTGCTTGAAAATAATTGATTTGGGCATGATTTCTTTGTTGAATGAATCCATGATTTTGGAAACATTGGAAGTGTCAATTAGAGTCTGATCTTGGAATGAAAATTTTGAAAGAAAATTTTTGGATAAATCCAATCCTCTTACAGGTAACTTTATTGAATTTTGATTTGCTTGAGGACAAGCAAAAGTTTAAGCTTGGGGTTGTGATGAATCCACATTTTATTGAATTTTTACTTGTTATTTTGATGTTTCTTAATAGAAAAAGTAAACTTAGGAAGTGTAAATAATATAAAAACATCATTTTGGTCAAATATCATAGGTTTCTTAATTTTTGGTTAATTTACATTGATTTACATAGATATAGTTTGCAATTTTGATCATTTGAATAATTGTGCAGGAATTTCTAGACTTTTTTCATGGATTTTTAGCAATTGAGAAAGTTTGAGATGAAAGTGATCACTTTAGATCCCATAGTGAACATTACAGCAAGATAGATCCAGAAGAACAGACCAAAGTGATCACGATAAAATTATAATAGACACTACAGAGACCCAATTTGAAGAAATGTTGTGCGTGCTTACTATGGAACCATAGTAGACACTCTGAAGCAGCCAAAGTAATCACTTTGATACCAAAGTGAACACTCCAGAGAGGCCAAAAGCACAAGACTTACGTGTACCTACTATGGAACCATAGTAGACACTCTGGTGCAATCAAAGTAATCACTCTAATACCAAAGTGAACACTCTAGAGAGGCCAAAATTACAAGACTTGCGCGTGGCTACTATGGAGCGATAGTAATTACTATGGAGCACTGCGTGTTATCACTATGAAATCATAGTAGTTACTATGGGAAAAAAATTTTGCATTATAAATAAAATTTAAGAAATTAGGATACGCAACTTTTTTATAACTTTAGATTCTTTTGCCACTTTGGGGACACTTGGAGAGCCTAGGTCAGCCTTGGGTGACAGCCAAGGGTCCAATCTAAGGTTTGAATTCCATTTTTTCTTCACTTTTCTTTGATTTTCATCTTGATGTTATTGATTTCTCTTTATTTTCATCTTGTAATGGTGAAACCCATCTTTATGGAGGGGTAATTTTCTTGTAATCTCTAGTGAGTTCATATGGATTCTTGAATTCCTAAGTTTTGAATGTTAATATAATTTCTTTTCTTTCATTCTTCTTCCTAATATCTTGAATTGAATTAATGGTTGAATGAGGGGAACATTGCTTAATTAACCCTAATTCATTTTAATGATATTCTAAACTTTAATTGCTTAATTTTAGGTTTATTTCTAAGGTTGCGTAATCTTGGGATGAGAGATTGGAGTCCATTGAATTGCTTAATTAGTATGGAAACATAAGGTTGATTTTCGCTTGTTAAATTAACTTAATTCTGGGAGGAGAGGAAGAGTATTAAATTTTGAGAGGAATAAGGATAGAGTCTACATGAATGAACTAGAGGTTACCACTCTTTATTGATTGAAATTTATAATTTTTTTTCTTTCTCTTTACATTGAACTTGAAATCACAAAAACCCTCTTTTTAACTTGCTTTTTGAATACATTACACACTACATGTTTGATATTTGGTTACTTATCCAATGATTCATGGGAGACGAACTAGGTTAGCACCCTAGTATTACATTAATTTTTGTTTATATTTTGATGAGGATTCGCGACAAATCTTTTGTTCATCACCCTGCTTAAACTAAGGACACAAGTCGTCCTCTCCATCCCATGTTGGTAGTGAGGCCAGTACTTCATCAGCTCTTGGAACTTTATTGCATACTTTCCCACTGTCATGTTACCTTACTTCAGCTCAAGGAACTCTTTAGCCTTCTGCTTCTTTAGATCTTGGAGAAAGTAATTTTTTTAAAAATGGAAACAAACATATCTTTAATTTTAATAATTTAAAATTTAATTTTTTTTAATTTGTCATTACAAACTTTTTGAAATTTAACAAGTCATCTTTTGAGAGTTTCTATTTTTAAAATATTAAAAAAAATAAAAAAACCTTAGTTGTCGCTCAGGTTCAGCCGTTCTACTTATATGGTTGCAAAAACTTATTATAAGTATGTCGAAATAAGAAGAGAATCTCCATTTTATCCTTTTTATAAATATTATTATTATTATTATTATTTTAATTATAAAAAATAAAAGACCTAATTTTAAATATATAATTTTTAAAAAAAATATTATTATAATTAATTTTAATTAAAGAATTAAAAATGATAAATTTTTATTACAATTTACATTATACTGTATTAAAAATTATAAAAACAAGTGTATTTTATTATGTTAATTATTTTAATTCCTTAAATAGTGTCTTAAGAAGACTGCTTAGCATCTATAATTTTATTTTAATATTTGTGTTAACATAATTTATTCATTTAACTAGTTAATATGTGTAATATACTATTTTTTAATATATATATATTGAAAAATAAAGACATAATTTTAAAAATATAAATTATTTAAAAAAAATTGAATTCAAAAATTTATTAAAGAATTAAAAATAATAATTTTATATAACAATAACATGTATCAAGATAATAAATATTTAAAAAAATTATAAAATATAATTTATTTTATTGTATAGTATTATAAATTTTTTTTAATTAAATGACAATGATTAATATATATTCATAACCATAAATTCAAAATATAAGAATCTTAAATTAAACTTTAAATTAAAAATATATATAAAATGACTTAAAATATACATGTGAGTTTATCTGTATATTTAAAATAATTTTTTTAAAATAAAAAATAAAATCTTATCATAAAACTATTAATGTATGATACTTGTTTTAAATATAAAAATTACATGAGAAAAATAAATATCAACATATCAAGTGAACAAATAAAAAATTTTGAAAATTATAATTCTCAAATATCAAGGTATATTATAAAAATTGTAAAACATAATTTTGATCATTTTTGAATGATTCTAAAACTAAATAAATATAACACTTTATTTGATAAATTATGATGTGTGTTTGGACAAAAGTGTAATTTATATATTATCATTTTAAAAAATGCACTCATCTTACATATATGATATTATGATAAATAGAGGAAAATAAAAGATATATTAATACAAAAAATAAATTTATTATAATTATTAAGAAAACACAGGTAATGTTTGAGAATATTACAAAATTTGAAAAATAGAAAGTGATAACTTTATAATTATTGAGAGCACTGACCGAAAGTAATATAAACAATAAATTATATTATATTAATTTTTAAATATAAATATAGGGATTTGTGAGAAAATTGAATGTTTATATAAGATTAAAAGATATTTTATAAATAAAAGCATGAGTATATACTAAAAACTTAAAAATTTGTAATGTAATAAGAAAATTTCAAAAAATATTTACATAATTATTTATGAAATAAATTAAATTTTATATAAGATAATAAAAAATTAAGTAATAATTTCTACATTCAAAATTTAAAATAAAATTAATAAAATAGTAAAATGAATAATTCTTAAATATAATTTATGCTAATTTAATATTAAAAAACATATGTTACTACATGTCAAATAAAGCATCTGTATTAAATAATCACTTTTCAATAAAATATTTTTATTGATTATATAAAAATTAATATATAATTCACCAATATAACTATTTATTAAAATAAATAATTTTAAAATATAGTATAAATTTATCATATATAATTACGTTCTATTGTCTTAGTAAATTAATTAATTTTTATTTCTATAAATTTATTAATTATTTCTTATAAAAAATATTAAAATATAAAATAAGATACACAATACTGTAATAAATAAATAAATAAATAATATTAAAAAAAAACGCAATTCTTCAACGTCAGCAATAAACAGAGGCCGCGTGACCTGCGCAACTGAGAAATGAAATGCTCAAAAGGATGCGAAAATTGCGTGAGAAACTGATTATTCTTTTAATAATAACGAGTAAAACAGAACAAAAATAAAAAGGTATGAACAATTTAAAATAGACATATTCTTAACTAATATGTAAGAATAGTTAGCGTCTGCATGTTACTGCATTCTATCACATGAATTTTATATGTCAGTTATTCCGTTGCGAACTCAAGATGCATGCCTCTCTCTCTTCAAAACGGTACTTGCCAACTCTGCACAATCATAAACCTGAAAGATAATCCTACTTATGCAACTAACTTCAGAAATATTATTATTATTTATTTTAATTATAAAAACAAATACTTATTTTCATATTTACTGTTTTTTTTATGTTTTACTATCAATATTAAAATTTATGTTATATTGCATTAAAAATTATAAAAATAAGTGCATTTATTACGTTTATTAATAATAAAAAAATTTATGTTTAATCTGTCCTAGAACACTACTCAATATTTATTATTACTTTTTAATTTTATTTATTGGAATATTTGTGTTACAATAAATATATTAGTTACTATTTTAATTATTTATTATTATAAATATTTTTTAAATATAATATAATTTTATCACATATATTTTGTTATCTTTATGAATTTTTAGTAAAAGTTTAGGATGATAAACACCTAATTTTTTATAAATTAAATTAAATTATAAATAAATAAATAAAAAGGTGAAAGTGTCATCTCTCCCCTCTTTTTTTATATATTTAGACTTGCGATGCGGTTCATCTGCACTCTGCAATTCATAAATGTATGATAGCTGTCTAATCTAATAACAGCTTTCATATTTGTACTTTTATTAGTTTAAACTGTTGAGTTAATGTTGTCTTTTTGTTAAGATTTTTCTATATAGAGAGAAGAAGTTGCAACTTACAAGAAATCGTAATCGCTGCTTTCTCTCTTTTTTGCTGCAGTTCTGAAAGGTTCCCCTTTCTCAGCGTTGAGTTCTCTGACACTCTTCTTTTCATGTGAGATTCATCCCAAATTCTCTTCAAGACCCACATTTCAAAATCTGTTTCTGATCACTGTTTCGTTGCATTTGGCATTTGCTCTCTTCGATAATTCTGATGCTGTTTTGGTTTTCATTTGTTTATATATCTTAGCAAGTTTTCCGTGAATTCTACCTGAGGTGTCGGAAGCTGCAACCATGAATTTGGCATCGGGCCTTGGTGGAAAGATTGACAAATCCCAAGTTCAGTCTGCTATTGACGAGTATATGTTTCTCTCTGTGATCTCTCTCTCTCTCTGTGCCTTTGCATTGTTCTTTAGAAAATTGTCTATCGATGAGTATATGCATGCATGCATGTATGTTTTTTAATCGGATGCTGAAAGATATGAGATATGGTTTTAAGTTATCATGGCTGATAAATCCCATGTATTAAACTTATGGTTCAGGTATGAGAAGTATCATGTGTATTACGAAGGCAAAGAGGAAGACAGGAAAGCCAATTACGCTGATATGGTGAGAGAAATTAACATTAATAAATGCATATTTTTAATGATATTCAGTTGATACGACTTTGGATTTGGAACAGTATCCAAGCCATTATTTGGGCCAGAGAGAATAGTCATTGGCCATCTGCATGTTGGGACTGTTCATTATTAGTTTTAATATTCTATCACTTGTGTTGGTGACTTGCTGTTTGTAACATTTGCTTGGTGAAGTTGGAGAATACCTTCCTTTTCTTTCATTTTAATTGTTGCCAACTTGGTTATCTACAAAATAAGATCTTCATATGTTTTTCAGGTTAATAAATACTATGATCTTTCAACCAGCTTTTACGAGTTTGGCTGGGGACAATCATTCCATTTTGCACCCAGGTATGAGGTATCCATTAGCTGTATTCTGCACTTAACAAATTCTAAGGATTTGCTCTGAGCTTAACAACTCATGCGTGCTGCTAATCATCTTCTAATTCAGATGGATTGGGGAATCACTTCAGGAAAGCATCAAAAGACATGAGCACCACCTTGCTTTACAACTAGGCCTGAAGCCGGGACTAAAGGTTTGCATGTTCGATAAAGCAAACCAATATCTATTTTACTATATATTACTTAAAATTCAAGAGATTTTTCTGTTTGTTTATAGGTTTTGGATGTCGGGTGTGGAATTGGGGGGCCACTTAGAGAAATTTCTCGATTCAGGTGAATGGCACTTCCTTTTTGAAGCATTCTCTTTCTTTGCCTTCCTTGTTTTTCCACTACTAGCTCATTAAGTATTTTCCCTGGATGTTCTTTTGGTTAACTGGATATCCTATTTGCATATTCTTCTTCCAAAAAAATTAAGTTTTTCATCGTTCTCAATAACTTGGCAGCTGTAGTACTATAGTCTGTTATGGATCTAGATTTTTCCCTTTATGGGTAAAGAGTATGTTAGCATTGTACCACAAATATTTCACTGGTAATAAGAAGTATGTTCTAGAATGTTTATTTCAGAAGCATTTTTCTTTTAAGGAAAGAATGGTTGGGTTCATAAGCTTGGTTGTACTTGTGCAGCTCAACATCAATCACAGGTTTGAACAACAATGAGTACCAGATAACAAGAGGAAAGGTATGTGATAAAAATATGTAATATGTAACACAATAGCCAAACCTTGCCAATCATATATCTTTAAATATCTGTTGATGAATAAATTATGTGAGTTTACCACATTTAATAGTAGAGAGTGAATAGTTAATTCTAAACCTTCGGAAAAACAAAACCACTTAGATCTCTTATGAGCTTTTATTGATTTACAGGAACTCAATCGCATTGCTGGAGTGGACAAGACTTGCGACTTTGTCAAGGTTGATCTTCTGTAAATAAATTATTTTCCTTTTTCTGGGGAAGGGGACAATTTTATTATTTTACATGTATGAGTCCAGTTTCTGTACTGTTATTACACTTATTTTTATGTTGCATAGGAGTTTTGTGTTTTTTTTTTTGTGATGGAAAAGTTTAGGAGGTTGCATTATGATATGATTTAAGGTTATAGCATACAATGGCACGATTATCATATTTGATAATGCAGGCTGACTTCATGAATATGCCATTCCCAGACAATAGTTTTGATGCAGCGTATGCAATTGAAGCCACCTGCCATGCACCAGATGCTGTATGTGACCATTTTTCCAACTCTATTTCTCTTTTTATCAATCCTTTTTCCCCTACAATCACATATCAACTCTCTGTAGCCCATGAAGTGCAGGTGTGAAACTATGAGTTTAAATTCTGTCTTAAATTTTAATTGTCTGAAACTTTTTTTTTTCTCTTTCTTGATGCCAAATTATGGATAGTATGGATGCTACAAAGAGATCTTTAGAGTGTTGAAGCCTGGCCAATATTTTGCTGCATATGAATGGTGCATGACTGAAGCGTTTGATCCCAATAATGAAGAACACCAAAAAATAAAGGTATCATGGAGTGGTAGAATTTATATGTTGACTTTATCTTCTATTCTTTCCCTTGCCTCAACTTGATTTGCAATTCTATATATATATATAAACTATTGATGCAGGCAATAATTGAGGTTGGAGATGGACTTCCTGATATTAGATTGGCCGAAAAGTGTGCTGAAGCTCTGAGGCAAGCAGGTTTTGAGGTGAACATCAACCCCTTTTTATCATGATCTTCACCAATATTGTTCTATGAATGTTTAAGAAATGAATCATATATTAAATTGGCTAAGGGAAGATTGAAGATTGATCCTTTTTGTGCATGAAGGTAATCATGGAGAAAGATCTTGCAGTTGAGTCTCCTATTCCTTGGTACTACCCTCTGGACACAAGTCACTTCTCACTTAGTAGCTTCCGTCTAACAGCTGTTGGGAGACTTCTCACCAGAAACCTGGTATTACTACTAAAACTTTTTTAGCTAACAATTGTTTCACTTTTTCTATATTTAAGTCTCATGAATTGTTCTATTACTCGAAATATATTGATATTATTTGTGGGCTCTGAATTTAATTGTTTGTAGGTCAAAGCTCTAGAATTTGTTGGTTTAGCTCCAAAAGGAAGTCTAAGGGTTCAAGATTTCCTAGAGAAGGCCGCAGAAGGACTAGTTGATGGTGGAAAGTAAGTTTTCCATTAATCCTTTAATGTCATTTTATAACTCCGATTCAACTGAAGTTAGAATTGGTAAAAGTGTAAAACAACTATTAGTTTTGTTAACAAAGTAATAAGTTTTTATTGAAAATATATTTTTCATTTAATAAATATTATTTTAATAAAAATTTATCATTTTTTGTTACTTAAAATCAGTACTAAGGTCTTGCTTATGTTGTTGCGTTTTCAGGAAACAGATTTTCACACCAATGTACTTCTTTTTGGCCCGGAAGCCTGAGTCTGGCACTCCCTGAGGTGCTGTTGCAAAATTGCTTTCTAGAGTTATTCCAATTAAAGGAAGTAGTTTCTGTAAAATTTTAATGTATTTGGAGTCTTGTTGATTTGAGTTTCTTTTCTGCGTTTACATACCTCATTTTGCTTCTTGTTATTTTCCGTGGCAGTTTTAGCCCTGTTTCACTGGATTATCCTCACATTACTGATAAAAGTTAAAATGGATAATTTATCATCCCATGTATGTTTGTGTGGACTGTTTTCATGTATGCAAATAGCTTAGTAACTTACGATTATTAAATTTAAAAAAAAAATACACATATTGTGATGGTGATGATGGAGAATTTTATTACTCTTGTGAGTCTTGTAAAATAAATAAAATGAAATAACAATGTAAGAATAACAACTGAATATTATTTGTGAATTCAGCTACATGGATCATCTTTTAGCTTAGTTAAAAATTAAATTTTCAAAAATTTAAAAGTGTCTCTTTTAATAATTTTATTTAAAGTTTTTTTGAATCGACTCGATCTTTTTTTATCGGATTAAAAGTCATGCAATCTATTTTTTTTATTGGTGTTTCCAAAGGTCTTTTCTACACATGACCAAATTATCTTAGACAAATTTTAATAATTTTTTCTATTATAGGTTGTCATTTCAATATTCTTTTGTGTACTAACATTTTTTTCACCTTAATATTCTTATTTCTGTCATTTTCATTTTCTTTTTGTGTTGTTCATTTAAGACCTAAAATTATAATCACAAATAGCTTTTAATATCTTTCTCAACTTTAACCTCTTAGTTTGTGTATTTTGTGAATAACATCTTTATTAATTTTTTTTATTATTCTATATAATCAATTCTAAGTACCTGAACCTGTAAGTTATTTAACAAAATCAGAAATTGTGTGTGTGTGTATATATATATATATATAAAATTATTATATGATAATTTTGGTACAAAAATATGTAAGATTTTTATAAAATTTATTAATTTAAAAAAGAGATTCAAATATGAGCGCAAAGATATTAGTATGTAATCCTTAATTGAAGCTTAATAAATTTTAGTAGTATTTCTTTTAGACTAAACCCTCATTTTTGTTTTTGAGAATTGAAAAGCATTTTTATCCCTAATTCTTAAAACTTTTTATCTACTCATCTTTTTTCATCTTCATTCTTCCTCATCGAAAATTACCCTTTTTGGTCACTATCTACATTCTTTGATGGTGGCAAAGTCGCTGCCATCCAGTGCACTAATTAACTCAATTGAGCTTAAGAATATATAAACTAACTACTACAAGCTCATCAACCATGATGGTGAAACAAGAACATCTCTTCTCCATAACTTGTCAAACAAGAATCTTGATGTTGCCATATTACTAGCATTTGCATACCCATCAATCATAGTGTGAAAGAAATAATATTCTTCTTAGGCATAACATCAAACATGTCCTTAGCACAACTCAAATCTCCCACATGCATTATTGTGTTAAAAAAAAAAAAAAAACATTTCTTTGCATCATATCATCAAACAACTTGACATACCCAAAAATTATAGCAATCCAATAAACCATATTCATATGCGACATTTGTTCAAACACCTTGCGAGCATCGCCAATCTCTTCACATTGATCGTACATATCAAGCAAACAATAATTGATGATGGTAGTTTCTAGTGGGACGACGAATAGACAAAAGGTTTTAAGAACTATAGTTTTGAAACAATAATTAATGATGGTATTTTCCAGTGGGACAATGAAGAAGAAGAAAAATGAATAGATGAAAGGTTTTAAGAACTAGGGTTTAAAATGCTTGATGATGACAATCTCAAAGACTAAAATATTTTAACGAATAACAATTTCAAAGACTAAAATAAAAATATATAATGTCATTTTTGACATGTAATCAAACATATATGTTATTTAACATGATATGTTAGCATTTTAGTATAGTTTATTAATAATGTTTAAGTTTAGAGATTTAAATGTTTGATGGAGATAAAAATTAGGACTAACGTGATATTTTTAAAATTTTAAATATTAAAGTGTTTGACATTTATTATATGAAAAAAAAAATGAAGATAATTTATTTTATGTACTATTCTCTCTTTTGCTTTTATGGTATTATTTGGTGCATGATTGAAACAGAAAAATGTTTTCTTTTGTAAATAAATAAAACATTTTATTTTATTTTATTTTCATTTGTATTACTCTTTTTAATAAATTCAAATTATTTTTCCATTTTTTTAATCAAGTTACATCATTTGATTTTAAAAAATAGATAATGAATACTTAAAATTATAAAATAATTTTTTTTCCAATTGTTTTATTATTTGTCAAATCTCACACTAATCAATTAAATTTCACACAAGCACATTTTAAAAAATAATTATATCAATAAGGAAAAGTTATATCTACAATTTTGTTATACTACTATTATTAGTTTATTTGATGTGTATTAGATATTGATAATATAAGAGTTTATCGTGCCCGTATTTTTTCTTATTTTTATCATATTTTTTATTCTGCTAATGCTAATTTCACAACCTAATAAACATCAATGTTTTGTTTGGATTTAAAAAAAAAATATGAAAGAATATATATATATATATATATATATATATATATATATAATTTTTCCTGTTAAAAATATAAATTATAAATAAATATAAAAGTATCTTAGGAAAGCTTCTCTTCATTTTTTTTTTCACCTTTTTCTCTTTTACTAAACTGGGAGCATTATTTCTTTTTTATTTATTTTTAAGAAAATGAAGTATAAAAACTAAGAAATAAGAAATCTCATATTATTACATATTTTTAATCGGCAAGGACCTTTTAATGTAAGTTTATTTATTAAGTTACATATTAAAATATATTTATAGTAAGTTTAATCAATCAAAATTTAAATATTTCTTTATTTCTATGAAATTCATGTAACAATAGTTACCTTTCATAACCAAGCGCCTGTGGCCTAATGGATAAGGCGTCTGACTTCTAATCAGACGATTGTGGGTTCGAGTCCCACCAGGCGTGTGTTTGCACTGTTAATTTCTTTTATTAAAAATATAAAAGTAACAGTAATTGTTATTTATCACCAAAATTAAAATTATTAAAATATTATTGAAGATCAATCATGTTATGAGATAAATTGAATGAGTTAATTATATTACTTATTAAAAGTAAAAATGTTAGAATCATTTTATTATAAAAACTAGAACTAATATATTATTTTATGTTAAATTTTAATACTTTTCTCAAACATGGATATTGCATTGTCACGGAGGATATATGCATATATTATCTAAAAATAAAAAAATTCATATTCAAACCTCCAAAATGTCTAGAAGGTAATGGAATCTAAACTTGAAAGGGATGTTGTCATGTTGATATGATTTAAATCAAAATGAAAATGTGATTGAGAGAATGAATTTGAGAAAGTGGGAGGTTAAAGTAGTACTTGTCCCACGGAATCATTGAATTAACCTAAGCGAAAAAGACATGAAATAGTATAAATTTGAAGTCGCAAGAGAGAACCATAGAAAGTGTTCACCACCAACATGGTGTTGGCAAAAGAAACTTTAACGGAGCAAACATGAAGTTTCATGCACTACACTCGAACGTGCAAACATTGACCGGTGGTTTCGTAACTAGAATTATTGGGGGCTATGCCACTTCGAAAATCACGGACCCATTGTGGGTTGCTTGGAAGTTAAAGCTATAGAAAGTTATAAGTCAATTGTAAGTTCAAGCGCAGCCCATTTATTTGCACTTTCACAGCATCCTTTGTTTCTTTTTCCCTCCTTTTTTGCAGCTCATGATTAACTGAACAAAAAGATCCATGTTCTATAATCATCTTGTATAAAAACATTGAATAATTCAAAACTTTGCTACCATATTTTATGATTATATTTTATTTATTAAATAAAGAAAACATTAATTCAAAGAACAAGACAACTATGCGATATTAAGCACAAATGAGGTATTTTAGTTGAGAGTAAATCTTCAATGACCTTTTCTTTTTCTCATTGAAACTTTGAAACTTTCTCCTTGTTTTTTCCTATGTCCCGTTGTTAATTTTTTTTTTCTTTTTTGTCTCATTTACATCTTCATATCTTGTTCTCCCTTATAAACAACATAAATATTTTTTTTCTTTTTTTTTCTTCATTAACTTATCCCTTATCCACACTTTCATAATTAGTTTTCTCCGTGCAAATTTTAATGAAAACACAAATATTTTCATAAGTTTTTTTATTATATCTAAGAATCCTGGAAAAATATAATGTCACAACGACAATAGTATCAAGACTTTGCTACTGTTTAAACAATTTTTAGTACTTTATCTATATTTGATGTTGTCATTACTATCTCATTCTCCTTAAATTATGTTGTATTTTTGTCAAAATTTGTAAAAAAAAAAAAGTCATAGATGTGTGAACGAAGAACAGAATAAGGCATAGATATGTAATTGGTTGACTTGCCGCTTGTGGAAAGGAAATTCACTTAGATGTGTGGGAACAACGAGGGTGGATGACTGGGTCTAAAACTTTTTAAGTTCAACAATTACTAGATGGAGTATGTTGACGAGGTGGTTAATAAGGCATGGAATGGAAATGTTAGCGAGTCATGGGTAGCAAAGCACATTAAAAGAAGGATGACTAATGTGAAAATTGCTCTGAAAGGATGGAATCGAGAAGTGTTTAGAGATGTGCATAAGAAAATTAGCAACATGATATTAGAGCCTGTAAAGTTGGATGCAAAAAATGAAATTAAAGACTTGGTAGGTGAGGAGACAATTCAGCAAAAAGACTTGGTTGAGGGTATTTGATGGGTAAGAAGACATAGGAATATTTTTTTGACACAAAAGGGAAGAAAGAAGTGGTCTGTTGAGGGTGATATGAATTCCAAATACTTCCATGTTTGTATTAAAGGAAGATGGTGATGTATTTAAGTATTGGCACTAGAAGTAGGGGTAGGTGGCTTGAGGATGTAAATGAGGTGAAATCTTATATTCTAAATTTTTTATGTGATCATTTTACCGCTTATGAATGGAACAAACCAATAATCGACATTAACATATCATGCATATCTGGAGAA